GCTTCGAGCGGCCCCGTTCGCCCATCAGCCCCACCGCCTGGCCTGGCCTGGCCTGGCCCGGCCCGGCAGCCTGGGGACAGGTCGGTGCTGTGTCATTAAGATGGCAGTGGTCCCTTTTCCAGCTGGCATCCCTGCCCCTCCCTCGCTTTGCTCGGCCTAAGCGGCCCGGGGGTGGGGGAGGGTGGCCCGGGCTGCACGGAGTGAGTCTCCCACCTCGGCCTCCCGCACTGGCGTCCCTTGGGGCTGTGCCCGGCCCACCAGCACCAGAGAAACACCGCTGTCGGAGGATGCAGGTCCTTCAAGGAAACGGGGTGCAAAAGTCTGGCCCTCACCCTCTCCCTCCCCGAGCCTAGCGACAAGGCCTGACTGCATGCTCCCCGCTCTGTCTTAGCTGTCTGATGGTGGGAAACAAGCTGGAAGTTCCATAGTGTTTTCCCTCTTGGTCAGTCTCTATATTTGGGTCCCTCCTCTCTTTGTTTTAAAAATAGTATCTGTATGGAACGCACGTGGAGTTTTCTAGGTGCTCGTGGGGTGGGGTGGACTCGCTCCGTGTCTGTTTCAGGGCTAACCACAAGCTTTGGGAAGCAGCAGTAAAGATTAAAAGTTATCTGTTAACCTCCTTTGTGCTGTAGTTTGGCAAAGTCCTGCATGACACCTGGAGTTAGGCTTTCGGACAGGGTGACACAGTTCTGTTGGTAAAGATTGTACCATGCTCTGAACACGTGAACTAAGTAAGCTATGGACTTTTTACAAGAAGATAAGCTCCTCGGGAATCTCACTCAGTGTGGCCTGATTCAGTAGCATCCTGCCATACATCAGTGGGCAAGTAGGTTTTCAAATTCATTATGTTGATAGGAGCACTTATTCTTCTGGGACAGCTGGGCTAGGGCTTGACAGTTTATTTCAGGCTAGCTACAAAGAGGCTCATGTAAACTGTAGCCCTTATTTAATGGAGTTAATGAATAATGAATAGTATTCCTAGAGGTGAGTTTGTGCTTATCCTAACAGTTGGAATGGCATTCTTTACCACTTTTTCTCTCGGTCTTTCCAGGAGTCAGATGGTGGCTTGTATATTTGCATGAACACGTTCCTGGGCTTTGGGAAGCAGTATGTGGAAAAGCACTATCAGAAAACAGGCCAGCGAGTCTATCTGCACCTCAAAAGAACACGTAAACCGGTAAAAAAAAAAAAAAAGAAAAAAAAAGGTGGTACTGAAAAATATATTTGAAGGAACATAGAGACAGATCTCACCTCTCAGTTTCAGGACGAGTTTGATAGTATGTAGGGTTTTCTATCCTCTCAAATGTAACTGATGTTTTTCTTGGTGAATCTCAATTCTTCAGCATTACTATTTTTCAATTATTGTATGGATTGCCCAACCTATTTCTCTCGGCCCTCTTTCCATTTGCACAGAAGCTTAAGTTCTATCCTGAAGTCTTTCCACAGCGTGCCTGTCCCCATAACTCTATTTTCCTATTTTTTCTCTCTGAAATAGAAGGAAGAAGATACCAACTCCAGTGCTGGAGATCCCCCAAGGAAGAAACCAACTCGCTTGGCTATTGGTAAGAAAGCATTTCTGATACTCTGTAGTCCTTGTTGTTTAGGGCCAGTCCTTTGGAGCTTCCTTGCCTTGTGGT